ATATTGTCAGCATCGAGAAGGCCTATGTGCACCTCTCCCATTATGAATGCTATCTTGACTTTTTTTTTTTTTTTCATTAATCAGTATTTTTTATTATGGTTTTGTGGGGTACAGTTAAGGGTTAGGTGTACAATGACGTTTCGCTATCTTGACTTTTATAAGAATCATTTCCAGTTGGGCTCAGTGGCTCAGCCTGTAATCCCAGCACTTTGGGAGACCGAGGCGAGTGGACTGCCTGAGCCCGCAGGTTCGAGACCAGCCCTGGCAACTTGGTGAGCCTTCATCTCTACAATAAAATAAAAAATAGTCAGGCATGGTAGTGCACGTCTATATTTTTGGCTACTCAGAAGGCTGAGGTGGAACGATTGCCAGAGGCCAGCAGGTCGATGCTGAAGGAGCCATTAGTGTGTGTGTCACTGCACTCCAGCCTGGGCTAAGGAGTGAGACTTCAACTAAAAAAAATAGTAATAATCATTTTTGTGTATTTCCTTAGTTTTACCACCAACCCATGTATTTCCATACAATATAGTATTTCTTTTTCTTCCATATAAGCTGCATGAATTACTTTTTCTTACAGTGCTGAAATTGTAGCTCTAGTGTGTTCATTTCACTACTGTGTTGGTGTTATATGTGTATATATTCTTTACTACTGATGGACATTTAAGTTGTGTCCAGTTTGATGAAAAACTCTTATTAATATTCCTAGTCCAGAGAAGTAATAGACCTTTACAATGAGAACTAAAAAACACTGCTCAAAGAAATTTAAAAAAAGACATTAAAATTACACAAAAAAGACACAAACAAATGGAAAATTATTCTATGCTCATGGATTGGAAGAATCAACATTGTTAAAATGTCCATCCTACCAAAGGCAATCCACAGACTCAATGCAATACCCACTAAGTTACCAATATCATTCTTCTCAGGCCTGGAAATGACAACGGAAATTCATGTGGAAACATAAACGACCACGAACTGCCAAAACAATCCTTAGCAAAATAAACAAGGCAGGAGGTATCACACTTCCAGACTTAAAACTTTACTATAAGTCTACAGTAATCAAAACAGCCTGGTGTTGGTCAAAGAACAGGCATATAGACCAATGGAACAGAATAGAGATTCCAGAAGCAAAGCCTCAATTTCTCAACCAACTCATTTTTGACAAAGCCTCCAACAACCACTGGGGAGAGGAGAACCTAAGTAAATGGTGCTGGGAAAACTGGTTGATCACATGCAGAAGATTGAAATAGCATTCCTACCTATCACCATACACAAAAATTAACTCTAAATGGATCAAAGACCTAAATGTAAAACCTCAAACTATAAGAATCGTAGAAAACACAGGAACCATCCTTATGGAAGCTGGAACTGGCAACCAATTCCTGATCAGAATCCCAAGTGCCCATACCGTAAGAAATAAGATAGACAAGTGGGACCTCATCAAACTAACGAGCTTCTGCAAAGCAAAAGGAACCATCAGGTGAGCAGGGAAAAAATTTGCCAACCATATATCTGACAAAGGCCTAACAGCTAGGATCTACAAGGAACTCAAATGCGCCGAAAGGAAAAAATAAAAACAAAAAACAGCCCCATTAAAAAGTAGGCAAAATACATGAATAGACACTTCTCAAAAGAAGATATACGGGTAGCCAACAGACACATGAAAAAGTGCTCAGCCTCACTCACCATCAGAGAAATGCAAATCAAAAATCACACAGAGACACCACCTAACCCCAGTAAGAATGACCATTATTAATAAAACAACAACAGATGCTGGCGAGGATGTGGAGAAAAAGCAATCTTCTACACTGCAAACGAGTGCAACCTCTTTGGAAGACAGTGTGGCAATTTCTGAAAGAACTAGAAATTGAATGACCCAGCAATTTCTCTATTGGGAATATACCCAGAGGAACTCAAATCATTCTGCAGAAAAGACACTTGCACCCATATGATTGTTGCAGCTCTATTCACAATAGCAAAAACATGGAACCAATCATGCTACCCATCGAAGCTGGACTGCATTTTTAAAATGTGGTACATATACACAATGGAATATTATGCAGCCATAAAGGACAAACATATGGACTTTGCAGCAACTTGGATGGATTTAGAGTCTATCATACTCAGTAATCTATCACAGAAACAAAGTACAGAGTACCATATATTCTCACTCATAAGTGGACCTTGAACAATTATAATACTATAAGAAAGGAATTGGGAGTAGTGGGAAACTCAGGGAAGGGGGGTGGGATTGGCAGTAGAGGAAACTGCTACAGGAGGGAGGGGCACATCTTATCAACAAGGGCACCTGCATAATCGTTTGTATACCTAACCCTGAATTGTACCTCACATCTTTATAATAAAACAATAAGAATGAAAAAAATGACACAGTCAAAAAAATATATTCCTGGTTCATCTGTGGAACACTTGAGTTATAGGAAACATGCAGTGTCAATGTTACTTGGTAAAACCGAACTGTTTTCCAAAAAAGGTTCTATCAGTTCACCTAACACTAGTAGTACACAAAAATTACTGTTGCTCCACATCCTCATTAACATAAGACTCTTAGAATTTTTTGCCATCCTTGTGGATGTTTAATGGTATCCATTGTGGTTTAAACGTAAACAAATTTTCATTCACCGCTGAGTCTACTTGACATCCACATGAAAAAAAAAGCTTAAACCCTATCTTATACCATATACAAAACATTATTAATAATGCTTATCATGCACTATACACAAAAATTAATTCTAGGTGCACTACAGATCTAAATGTGAAAAAAAAGACAATGCTTCTACAAGAGTGGTGTCCAGTATAGTCTTCTGCAATAGAAATGCTCTCTAAATCTGTAGTCTTTGTGGGATCCAGCAGCACCACGTGGTTACTGAGTGCTTAAAATATGTCTAGTATAACTAAGGAACTGCAATTTCCATTTTATTTAATCTTAATTAACTTTATAAAAATTAGAAAGTATCTATTCATCATGAGAGTAAAAAGGTAAAGCCATAGAGAAGTTGCAAAGACATTCAACTTAAACTCAGAAAATATAAACTGTTCAAGTTAATAAGAAAAAAGGCAGATGATTCCCCTCAATAATTTTAAAAAGGTGTAGGGGGAAGGCAAAAGAGAGAAACCACTTAAAAATGAGATATCCAAAAGTTAGTAAATATGTAGGATAGCCATCAGGGAACCACAAAATAAAACCATGAGATACTATCACACCTACCAGAATAGCTAAAATTAAAAGACAGACAGAAGACAAATACCAAGTATAAGAAAATGTGGAGCAACTAGAACTCCCATACACTGATGGAGGAAGTGTATTTTAGTACATAGCTGTTTTAGAAAACTGATTGCTAGTTATGTACTAAAGTATCGTGTATATGCCAAATGGATCAGCAATTCCATTCCTAGGAATTATCTCAACCAAAACATATGTGTACTAGAAGTACAAGAACATCCCTAGAAACATTATTCATAAAAACTCCACAAAATAAACAGTAGAATGGATAAATACTGAGGAACCTAGAAACAAGCCAAACCAATCTACAGTGCCAAAAGTCAGAGAGAAAGAGTAGTCTTGAGGGGAGCACTAGTGCCAGAGATTCAAAAATAATCATCAGGTCTTGGTCCTCTCTCTCACTTGTTCTCTTTTGTGTGGGCTTTATTCTGCTACTGTGAGGCACTCCCCCATCGAATTCCAGACTGAGCTCATCTTCATAGTCAGCAATGTTAGTGGGAAACACCTCTTTCTTCAAATTCTGTGTCAGAATCAGCCTAGCCTGAGTCACACACACTTCCTGGAGGTGACTCTGCCCCCATTTAATCCCCAAACTAAAGGGGTGCTTTCCCAATGAAAAATCAAGGTGCTGTTACCAGAAGAGTGGGGAATGAATGCCAGGCAGGCAAAATCAACATTTTGAATGTCTGGAAAAGGAGCGACAAGAAAACCCTTAATTTGCCGTCTCTCACATTGATTTATGTCAAACTAAGCAAGTTGATGAATCTATAGCTTCTGCTATCTAAGGTATCCAAGCTGCTTTGTGAAAATCTCTGAACTACTGGGAAACGGAAATACTTTTATCAGATCTGACACCAGTCTCTCTCCTAGTTTGCACACCATCATCACATTATTCTTTCCAATGCATGGCTCTAACTATAAAACAATGCTAACAAAGAAACATATTTTCTACCAAAGCTGAAGACTTCTAGTCTGTCACTCATGGTCTCCCATGTTCTCGCCCTAACTTACCTTTCCACACTTATATTAAGCTGTTCCCCTGTATACACTAATCAGTGCTTTTTAGGGTTTGCCACTGTCACTTGATCAAATTAAAAGTATTAGGATATAACTGATATTTAAATGTCAGTCAGATATCTGGGCATTAACTTTCTTGTTACTTTTCCTTTGTGGTTTTTAAAGAGATAATAAAACGATTTACGAATGCCAAATATGATGCTTAAAATAAAATGTTCTTCATCTACAATCAGCAGCCTTATTAAATAAGCTTATCTTTCTAAAAATAAGAAAATGGGCTAGCTCTTTATAATAAAGTATTGACAAAGTATCATGAGAGATGTAAACATCATTTTCTTAATGTGAAAACCTATTGGAGAACTACTTTCTCCATAGCATTCATCCTTTCCCCATAAAATAAATAATTTACAGTGCAGAATTTCAAATGCTAAGTTTCAAAGATGGAGTAAAGAAATGCTAGTTTTATTTTTACACACAAATCGAACTTGTAATAAATGGTACTAACTTTGTCAGAGTACTCAAAATAAGACATATTAAAAAACAGGCTACCTGAATCTTAAGCTCATTTTATTTAGGCTAAATGTCTCCATACTTTCACCCTTAGCTTAAAGTGATTTATATATATAACTAATTTACTAATTTGTCAAGATCTCAGAATTACAGAAAAAAGTGATTTTTACTAAAAGTGACAGATGAATCGTAGCATAAATGAGTGAAATAACTCTGAAAACAAAAGCATGAATAAAATGTATAAGCATTTTATTTTCATTCTATTTTCACTTAAGCCAACTATGCTGTAAGTTATTTTCATAAATGATCCACATTTTACATTTTAATACAAATTTCAGAACATAAAGTATAACAGTATTCTCTATTTTATTGTCCACATATTTTATCTGAAATACAGTATTTAAGAAACAAAATAGCTCCTGCAACAAAACATTATTAAGAGTTTATTTTTTAATCATCATGGAGCTAATTTTCCCCATTAACTACAGAGACTTAGCCCAGTCTTATGGTTCTTGAATCCAACAAAGAATGTGGTATCAATAAGTACATGTTATAAATAAATTTAGCCTAACATTCAAGATATAAGGACTGACTTTTGATTTAAACCTAAAATTTTGAAAATATATTTAAAAATACTGTTCCAGCCATGTTAACATACTCTTTTAATGGTTTTATACAGCAGGTTTCAGAAGTTACAATTTTTTGTGCTTCCACAGATCTTTTTATTGGGGCAGCCATCAATCATCTTCTTTCTCAATATAGGTCTTTGCATTAACCCGCGCCATTTGCCTGGCCAAGTACCTGTCTCTAGCTGACATTACTGTTTCTTTGCTGTTCCGCTTTGCAAACTTGCTCACTGCCTCAGGTGGTCGCTCTTGTTCTTTATCTTGTTCTTTAACCTTTTCTTGCCTTTCCTCTGTGAGTCTGTGTTTTGCTCCCAGTGACGTTTCAGAACTAGAGGGTTTCTCTTGGTTTCTTTCTTTGTCCTTTTCCATGTTTCTCATTTTGCTGGATCTTTCTTGGTCAAGAAATTTATCCTTTGCCCTAGAATTTGGGCTGCTTTCCTTTCTATCTCGATTTCTTTCTGAAGATTGAACACTTAATTCTCGTTTTTCCCTATCTCTGTATTTATCATTATTTTCATATCTTTCCTTCCTTACTTTCATATGTTCTTCCTTTTCTTTGCTTTTCTCTTCCTTCTCTTTCTCACTGTGTCGGTCATGATCATTTCGTTCTCTTTCTCTTTCTTGTTCCCTTGGACAATATTTCTCCCTGTCTTTCTCCCTTTTCCATTCTCTGTCATTTCTTTCTCTTTGGTCCCTTGCCCTCAGTTTATCGTCTTGTTCATGCCTCTTCCAGTGGGAATCTCTATGAATGGCATCCCTGTGCCTATAAGAATCCTTTTCTTTCTGGTAGTCACGGTCAGTGTAATGATCCTCCTGATCTCTTGAATGCCTCTCTTGGTGTTGATCTTCCCTTTTCTCATGTCCTCGTGACTTGGAACCTTTTTTGTGGTGTCTGGCACCATGTCCTCTTTCTTCACTAGATGACTGTGAGTGACTTTGATTCCTGTGGTGCCTGGAGTCATTCCCTGAGGTCTCTGTGACCTTTGCCCTTCTGCAGTTCACTTTAGGTTCTTCCATTTCATCATCCTCACTGCTCTTAGCATCAAAGTCACTGTCCGCATCTGGGTTTTCCTCTTCTTTCACACCAGTCTGGAGAATGCATTTCTCATGTGATATTCTGTTCTCTGAATTTACTTCATCGGAGTAACCCCGTGTTTTCTCTTCCTTTATCTCAGACCTTTAAAACACAAAATGCCACAATATCAAGTGTGGTAAGCAAGTGAAGTGTTCATATAATTTTTCTCAATACTTAAGTTAATACAACAAATTATATGTACTGTTTGATTAAGTGCAAACAGGTGCTAATGCCTATGCAAACTAGTATTTTGAAACCATTCAGAATATTTTCAGTATTTGTAGACGTGAAGCAGGAAAAATTAGCTCTTCTCTATTGGACTACTAGAACTTTCAAGCAAGGGTCTGTACAAGTCTTTATTTTCTTGCTAAAACTAGACAAAGAATAATTGGTAAAAGTAAGACAGGTTCTGGATTGAGGTTCTACTTTCATAACATGAAGTCCAAGTTGTGACTCTTTGTTGGACTGACTGATTAGTTGATTTAGGAGTGAGAGTCTCACTCTGTTGCTCAGGCTGGAGTGCAGTGGCACTATCATGGTTCACTGCAGCTTTGACCTGCTGGGTTCAGGTGATCCTTCTGCCTCAGCCTTCCAAGTAGCATGCCGCCTGCCCAGCTAATTTTTTGATTTAATGTAGAAACAAGATCTTGTCAAGTTGCCCAGGCTGGTCTTGAACCCTTGGGCTCAGGGCAATCCTCTCTCCTCTGCCTCTCAAAGTGCTGGGATTACAAGTATGAGCCACTGTGCCCAGTGTTTTCTTTCTTTCAAAAAAATAGAAATAGTCCTTAAAATACACGGAGATAATATTTTTAAAGTAAAATAGTAGCAAATCTAATTCTAAATATCAGTTAATCTCTCTCATGATTAAAAAGCTGTCCTGATATACCCCTTTGCACCTAACACAACAAAATAGAAATATGTGAATCTCACCAGCTATTAGAATCAACAACATTAAAGTCATTTATATCATTTACATTTTTCTAGCTGATAAGTTTTTCCTTTTTACATTATTCACACATTCATTTTTTTTTTTTTTTCAGTTGGAGTCTCACTCTGTCACCCAGACTGGAGTGCAGTGGCCGCTCCTGGCCACCACAGCCTCGACCTGCTGGGCTCCAGCGATCCTTCCGCCCCAGCCTTCCGAGTAGCCGGAATTACAGGCCCACACTACCACGCCCGGCTGATTTTTTGATTTATTGTGGAGATGAGGTCTTGCCAAGTAGCCCAGGTGGGTCTCGAACCTGCGGGCTCTGGCAATCCACTCACCCCAGCCTCCCGAAGGCGCGGGATTACAGGCTGAGCCACCGAGCCAGGCCATTCACTCTTAATAATCACACTAATAGCATAAAAACTTTGGATCCCTAGGAATTTCTGCAGAACTATCTTGGCTAAAGGACTAATACTCAGGAATTCAATTAGACTCTAAGAAGTACAACTATGTAAATGACATTATGGAGTTGATGGCTGGCCTCCTAAGTATTCCAGATGAAACTCTAATAAGAAAGACATAATTATTTTAATTTCCATTCAAAACCTGAATGTTCAAATATACTTTTTAAGGTTCACACTTCTCAATTTTGTAATCAAGCTGGGTGTGGTGGCTCATGCCTGTAATCTCAGCACTTTGTGAGGTAGAGGTAAGAGAATTGCCTGAGCCCAGAGGTTCAAGACCAGCCTGGGTAACTTGGTGAGACCTCACCCTTACAATTAATAAATAAAATTAGCTGGGTGTGATGGCATGCACCTGTAGTTCCAGCTACTTGGAAGGCTGAAGCGGAAGGATCGCCTGAGCACAGCAGGTTGAGGCTGCAGAAGCTGTGAGCATGCAACTGCACTTCAATCTGAGCAACAGAGTGAGACTCTGCCTCAAAAAAATAAAATAATAGAAAAAATAATAAAAATTTTTTTAAAAATTGTGATCAAACCTTGTAGTGTGGGGAGAAGTGAGGAACATACTTAATTCCCTCTCTTCACCCTTAATTGCATTTTCCAACCTCTCCCTGCTTCCCCAGCAACACAGACTCAGATCTTCTAATAAGAAAGTTTCTGTTTCACAAAAATTTGCTTACACACAGGTTTAGGACAAACTGTGATCACAGCTCCCTGCAGTCTCAAACTACTGAAGTCAAGTGATCCATCTACCTCTGCCTCTCGAGTGGGTAGAATTACAGGCATGTACCACCATGCCCAGCTAATTTTTAAATTTTTTTAAAGAGATGGGGTCTCTCTCTGTTGTCCAGGCTGGTCTTGAACTCCTGGTCTCAAGCAATCCTCCCACCTCTGTCTCCCAAAGTGCTAGAATTACAGGCATTAGCCAGTGTATTCAACCTTTATTTACTTTCATTTAAGTACCTATATGTAACCAGTGGCTATATATTGGACAATGCAGTTCCAGTCTCTGATATATGAATCTTACATCTTATGAATGCTGGGTCCTACTTATGAAAATAAATCACTTTCCTTTTTTATATACTATCTGAACATGCAAGTAGGATTTAAGTTGTAGACACCTTATTCTGTCCAAATTTCACAATTCACAGCAATAATTTTAAGGCACCAGGGCCATGAGAGATACCTATACTTTTGGTTAAAAAAAATTAAAAAGACTATAATTGGGCTTTGTCCCCCATTGAAGGTTACTTATAAGACCGATAAAGCACTTAAATATTCAGAAATTTTATACATTAAAGGTCTAAGTCTTTGGTTTTACAATATTGAACTCAACCACTGAGACTGTTTTGGTGTAAACTAACAATTTTTGTGAACCACAGACTAAAAATAATCTTGAACTAAATCTACAAATCCATAGGTTTTTACATTAAGAAACTTCAAATTCCTAGTCAGATATTCAACTAGGTCAGGTCAGCTGACAACGTAACATGCAATGCTGTAATATTCCATCTTACAGAGGGTTAAAATGACCCCACAATCACAGACTATGAACAGTGCCTTTCTTCTAAATATTACATATGCCACTTCTCACCTGGCTTCACGAAAGCTACATTTAGGTACTTCCTCTTCACCAACTGCTTGATTTAGTAGGTGCCTATAAAATCCACTGAGATCTTTCTGCTTGGTTACATCCAAACGTGCTATGAGAGGGAAAGCAAAAATGACAATATATTCAACTGGGTACAATACCATTTCATTTTTACAGGCGTAGAGTATATAACACACAGTATGTAAGCTATCTCAAGATCAGGAGTTGGCAAATGACAGCCTGCAGGATAAATTTGGCCTGCTGCCTGTTTGTGTAAATACATTTGTATTAGAACACAGTTTATGTAATGTGCACATGGGCTTCTGTACTACAAATACAGAGCTGAATACTGCATCAGATATTACAAGTTCAAAAAGCCTGAAATACTATATGGTCCTTTACAGAATGTTTGCTGGCTAGTGCTCTAGATGAACACACAGGACATGATTCCACAGAATATTACAGATTTGGTTTTCTTCTATTTGAAATTTGATGAGTACTTGCCAATTACATTATTTATAAGGATATATTCTATTTAGATTTTGAGAAATGATCATGAGTAGAAAGCACTAAAGTAAAGCACAAGATGTTCTTTAACCCCTGCACATCTTTATTCTTTCTTCAATTAATGTTATTATTCTTCTAATTGCCCAGTTGATGCTCCTTGAGTGGTGTGACTCCATATTTTCTCATCCCAGAAAACATAATTAGGATTTAGTTACATTTATGTTTTTTGAGAAATGTTATGGTGTTATACCTTGTAATAACCTTGTAATAAATGGTGTATACCTTGTAATACCTTGTAATAAATGGCTTTATATTTGAAATCATGTTCTAAGGCAACGACTTATAATGATTATATTTTTAAGCAATAAAATGAGAACTAAGATAAAAAGTCTACTAGAAATAATAGTTATTGAAGAGTTCAGTGTTTTCAGTTTCAGTTAAAATTTCCCCTGGTTTTATACTACTATATAGCGTGTATCTTAAAATTCTTATATGTAAATTATGATCACACCATTATAACCCAGAGTTTAGCTAACAGCTGAACAGTTGATCACAGGGCAGAGATTCTGTTGCTCTGGTTCCATCTACCTCTCCCCTCTTCCATTTTACCTTCAAGTGCAGCAGCCCTCTTTTCTCTTTCCTCTTCTTCAGCTCTTTCTTGTAGTTTTTTCCTGTATGCAGATGTCACAAATGCTTCTTTATCATCAAATTCTCCCTTTTCCATTTCTCTTTCTCTCTGTATTTTCTTTTCCATTCTCTTTTCTTGTTCCTTTTTTCTAATCTCAACTGCTTTTAGTAAGTTGTGAATATACTTGGGCTACGGAAAAAAATAATTTAGGAAAGAGTAAAAAATAATTGTTAATGTTATAATTTTTTGTCATGAATTCACTAAGGTAGAAATGATTAGCCTGAATATGACTGTCTTTTTCCCAAAATACAACATACATTTAATAGCAAGATTAACACTGACATTGCTTTCAATAAACATGTGGGCATAGCAGAGATAGAAATTATTTATAATGCTATTTTACTTTTTAAAATCTCTAAATAAAAAATTTTCTCAGTGTTTTTTTCACCCTTTTTTCTGGTATTCTCTTAATTCAAAAAAATAAATGAATCAGGAAAGTTCCTGTTGTTTTTCACATTTCTAGAAATGATTATTTAAAATAGAAGCTTTACTATAACTTTACACCATCACTCCACTAGTAGATACAATAAGATGCAAACATCCTTAAAAATCAGTCTCTGCTATCAAAGAACAAAGCTACAGAAATAAAATTTGAACTTATCTCAATTTTTCCTCTCCCAAATTTTCTTCAAATGGAAAACATGACTATAATGTGTGTAGGCAGATGATTCAATAACCAGTTAGATTAGAAAACAATAGACAGAGATGATAAATACCATAAATAAGCATGAACAGGGCAGGTGCAGTACAAATTTGGCATATAAAATTTCTAAGGAAAAATTTTAAAAAATTATTTGCAAAAGCTTCAAAGCAAAAAACTAAAATTTTAAAACTGTTAGATAATTCACTTGCCACTAGAATTCTATATCAAATTTATAATATCTGGAACTAGGGGCTCTTCACATTTCAAATATCTAAAAGCTTTTTCTCAGATCATCCTCATGTTAAAGTAAAATTAAGATACAAGTCGAAGTCAAAGAAAATTTGTATTTCAGCTACAAACCTTTCGATCTTTTCCCAGAAGCAATTTAGGATTACTTTCCTCCTTTTTCTTTTGCATTTCATCATAAATACTGTCATACTCATACACAGTGGAATCTTCTGCAAGGGCCTTCTGAATTTCCAGTTTCGTCTTAAAAAAAAATTACACATATTTCAAAAATATAAGCCAACCAATAGATACTACAAAAAGTCTATATTTTTTTGTTGCAAGGTTCATAAATTGGAACTATATCATACAAATTACACCAATAATATTTTAGATGGAAAATATGAATTCTGGAGCCAGGCTGCCTGAGTTTGAATCCTGCCTCTATACTTACTAATTATTTTGGGTAAGTTTGCTTCACCATTTTGTGTCTTAATTTTCTTCACCTAAAAAAGTGAGAATAATATCTATCTTCCAAATTGTGATAATTAGATAACTTAAACTTAAAACACTCAGAACACAGCATTAACTATTAATATTACAATCTATTCATCTATGTAGAATCATCCACAACTAAAGGTTCAAGGTATGACTGAGAAACATCTTTTGAGATGCCTCTATTATATATTCTAAGTAAGTTGAGTTGCCAAATAAAATGCTTAGTTTTCAAATGTGTAACGTTAGAAAGTATTTTATAGGCTGGGTGCAGTGGCTCATGCTTGTAATCCCAGCACTTAGGAAGATGGAGGTGAGAGGATTGCCTGAGTCTACAGGTTCAAGACCAGCCTGGGCAACACGGCAAGACCATCTCTACAATAAATAAATAAAAATTAGCTAGGTGTGGTGGCACATGCCTGTGGTTCCAGCTACTTGGAAGGCTGAGATGGAACAATCACCTGAGCCCAGCAGGATGAGGTTGCAGGGGCCATAGGCGTGCTACTGCACTCCAGCCCGGGCTACAGAGTGAGACTCCTACTCAAAAAAACAAAACCAACAAACAAACAAAACACAGATTCAAGAAAATATCTTACAAAAAGGTCCCAACATCATATAAAAATGGGGATACTCTATAACTAATAAGTGTATTTTGGAAATTTCAATCATATAAAGTAAAGTCTATCATGTTCCTTCTATCTTAAAAGGATTTCGTCCTCTTTCAGGCCATCAAGATCTCATCCAGAGTTTTAGTGTCAGTTTTCATCTTAAATGAGGCCATTTCTGAGGACTTTAACCCCAATTGATCTCCTTCTTCTGAACTCTGATGAAGCATTCTACTGTGTAATACTTAACTACTGATAACACTAGATGACTATTACTTTCTAATTATTTTACAATTCTTAGCCTCTTGCACTAGCTTGTAAGTTTCTGAGTACAGAGTCTATATATTTTAACTTTTTCCTGAATTGCTACATTACCTAAAGCAAAATGAAACACAAGAGGGATCCTTTTAAGTGATAGGGTGATATTATAAATTTAAAAAAAAAATCTACCTCATATTCTCAGGTTTTTATATATCAACATTTAGACTCTGGAATTATACATATAGTAAATGAAAAACCGTTTTTTTCCTGAACCATTGTTTAAAATATTCAAAAATTCATATATTATTTTTTACTTCTCAACTTTTAGAAAACCAATGATTCTCCTGCCTAGATGGTGAACTGGCACTGCTGTTCCCACCCCAAAATCAGTTTGAACCCTAAGAGGGAATTTACGAAATAAAAACCACACAGAAGAAGAAAAGGGAGGCTAAGGGCTTCTTTAAACTGATGATATACCTTTTTGCATATGTTGAGTGGTGAGCTGAAGCAGAGCACTTGAAAGAGACGTTATTTTTAACTGTTTCAACATAGATGAAGCAAAAATTGAACAAAAATCTAAGGGAATTATAGACAAATCCACAATCATAGTAGGAGATTCTAAGATATGCCTCTCAGTAATAGAACATTTAAAAAATCAGTATAAATACACACACACACACATTCAGGGGATTAACATAACTGCTCCAATGGAAATATACAGAACTATTTTCAAACATAGAGAGACTATTTATAAAAAGTGACGACAGAAGACAGATTCCAAGATGGCGACAGAGTCAGTCAGAGTATGAGTCTGTATAAATGAGTGTGCATAGGGACAAAAATGCATTCAAGTGTGTTGACAAGTGGGTATGCGAGTGTCTTGACTGAGTGGGGATGTGGAAACAGATGGCCTGAGCTTTCCCGCTGAGGCAACCGCCCCACATGGCTACTCAGATCCCAGCAAGATCCATGACCCAGAGGTAGACAGCACCTCTGCAACCCTACCTGGAAGAACAAGGCGAAAAACAGCCACTGCTGGTGCAGCCCACCACCACCAGTCTTCAGCACCAGATCAGACATTGGCAGCAGGGACCGTGGAGAAAATACATCGGAGGAAATAGCTGCTGAGTCCCAGTGGAAGACAAGATGTAGAGATGTCCCCACCACCTTGGTCCTGGTAGTACATGGGCAGAGACAGGCTCTGGCCTGTCCACTTGAACAGCAGAGCTACTCCCTGAGACTGAGGGGTGAATTCAGCACCTCTCTGAGGGCAAACACTGTCAACTCAGAAAGAATACCCTGGGTGCAGTATCCCTAGAGGGACAGACCTGACAAGGAGACTGAACAGCCCCATCCCCCTAACTAGAACATTTACAGCTCTATGGCTGCAACGAGAGATGAAGAATTTGAAGAATTGAGCCCACAGTGGATGAGTGGGGTTCCTTTCCCTTATGCTATTTTGTATCCAGAATATATATATATATATGTTCCCATTGCATGGACAGACTGTGAAGTTGTGAGAAATGTGTCCCATAACTAGTCAGCTAACACTGTAATCTGCAGGCAGCTTTTGAATCTTAGCATCCCCCCCAACACACCTTATTCAAATCTCAAAGCTGCAAAAGGACAGCACAGTTCTCCACCCCCAACCCAGCTTCAAAATCAAACAAATCCAGAGGCTTTACCAAAGGAAGACTAGGGGGTGAAGCAAACAGAAATAAAAACTATTTCCCCCTCTTGCTGAACAATGGAAGTAAAGAGAAAAGAAAAATCCACCACAAATGAAGAGAAATAAATGAAAAAACACAGGTAACCCAGAGACCCCTAGAAAGATGGTGCTGAAGAATACAGATTTCAGAACTCAAACAATGAAGAGTGCCCAGACAGACTGTTCTCAGGCCCAAATAGAGAGACAAACGAATGGTTAGAAAAGATGAATAAAAACCAAGAAAGGAAAATGAAACACAAAATAATTAATTACAGAGATACAACCCATAAAGAATATAGTCAATGAAATAAATAAACTGATAAGCATGGAAAGCAAAGTTAATCAAGCAGAAGAAAGAATCTTGGAGCAGACCAAAATATGGAACTAACCCAATCTGTTAAAAACACAGAAAGGAAACTTAAAGAGATGGAACAAAGTCTTTGAGATATGTGCAATAATACCAAGAGGCCAAACTTATGCCTGATCGGTATCCCCGAAGCAGAAAAAGAGAATGAAAGCACCCTAGAACAAATATGCCATGAGGTCATCCAAGAAAACTTCCTGCATTTCCTTAGAGATGTGACCTTCCAAACACAAGAGATACAGAGAAGCCCTGAAAGGCATCAAATGAGAAGATCAACTCCTAGAGACAAGTAATTTGCTTACACAAAGTAGGCATAAAAGAAAAATTCTTTAAGGCAGGAAGAGAGGCCAGACTACCTATTGTAGAAGACCAATTAGAATAGCAGCAGACTTATATACAGAAACACTACAGGCCTGAAGAGACTGGCGTTCAATCTTCAAAGTTCTCCAAGATAAACACACCCAACCAAGAATTTCCTACTCTGCTAACTTCATCAGTGATGGAGAATTAAAAATCTTCCCAGACATTCAATCCCTGAGAGTTTATGCTGCTGCCAGACCAGCTCTACTAGAGATGCTTAAGAAGGTATTAAGCACAAAAGAAAGAAAGAAAAAGATCAACCACGCACTTCTCAAGAATGCAGAAAAACAATCAAAACTGCAGGCATCGTGATGGCAAAACTGAAAACACACAAAATTATCAACCCCCAAATCAAAAGAAAACCAACCAACCAACAAACAACAACACTTTAGAAGAGCCTCATGACTGGGATAAACTCTCACATCTCAATAATCAGCCTGAATGTGAATGGACTAGATGCACAACTGAAAAGACATAGAATGGCAAATTGGATTAAAAACAAACAACAAACGAAACACAACCCAACAATATGCTGTCTCCAGGAAACACATCTCAACAAAGGACATTCACAGATTCAAAGTTAGAGGATGGAAAACACATTTTCAGGCAAAAGGTACGCAATAAAAGGCAGGAGCTGTGATCTTATTATCAGACAAAACAACATTTAAGCTATCCAAAATTTAAAACATACAGAAGGACACTACATAAGCATTAAAGGATCAATTCATGAATAAGAACTATCCATCCTAAACATATATGCACCCAACAAAGGAGCACCAGCTTTTACAAAGCAGCTACTAAGTAAACAAAAAATAGATATTGATTCTTACACTAAAATAGCTGGGGACTTAAACACCCCACTAACAACCCTAGATAGATTATCAAGGCAAAAAATCAACAAGGAAATCTGGAACCTCAACTTGACACTTGACCATATGGACTTAATAGACAGCTACAGAACATTCCACCCAACAACCACAGAATATACATTCTACTCATCATATGAAACATACTCCCAGATTGACAACATCCTCAGCCATAAATCAAACATAAACAAATTTCATAAGACTGCAATACTGCCATGCATCTTCTCAGACTACAATATAATAAAAATAAATACCACTACCAAAATTCCCCCAAAGCCCAGGACACTAAACAGCATGATGCCGAACAACTTCGGGTCAACACGGAAATCAAAACAGAAATTAAAACATTCCTGACAACAAATGAAAACCAAGATACATCTTACCAGGACCTCTGGGATGCCATGAAAACAGTACTAAGAGGGGAATGTATCTCTACGGACATACATCAAGAAAATAGAAAGACCACACATTAGCAGCCTAACAAATCACCTAAGGGAGTTGGAAAGACAAGATCATCAAAACCCTAACTTCAGCAGAAGAATTCAGATCACCAAAATAAAAGCCCAAATAGGGAACTGAGAAAAAAAATGCTATAGGAAAAAATA